GGGCCGGCGGCATGAAGAGGGAGGGGAGAGGGAATTGTGGGGAGTTAAACTCTTTCCAAACAAGCTTGGCCAAATAGAAGGGAAAATAATGAGTCTGCTCTAAATTAAAATTTAGATCGGATTCAAATTTGAAAACTTTCCTTATTTAGATTTTGCAAATAAGGAAAGTTTTTGAATTTCAAAATTTGAATTTCGAAATTTGGGGATTGGGAGGTGGGCCGGCGGCTAGGTGGGTGGAGAGAGGAGGCCGTGGGAGGGAGGCCGGCAATCGAGTGGGTGATGGTCGGCAGCTTGGGCGGCCCAAGGAGGCCGACGGCAAGGGGAGGGCTCAGGTTAGGGAAAATTACCAAGAAAGACTTTGGGGGTAATGAGGCCGGCGAGTGGGAAGTTTGGGGAGGGAATTCGATGCAAGAAAAAAAATAAAAGACAAGAAAGATAAGAGAACCGCGAACCTTGAAATTCACCAAGGTTGACGGGTATTGCAAATCACCCTCCTCGGGCTCCTCCTCTCATGAACTCACTAAGAGATCAAACAAGAACAAACTCTTTTTCATTCAATAATTCATCATCTCTTACAATGCATGAGGCCTCCTTTAAATAGGCCAAAAATAAGACAAAGCTAGAAATACACAAATGCCCTCAGGGCTACACAAGCGACTAAATACCCACAGGGGCAAACTAGGAAAATAAAATGCGAGAATAAATAAAATACAAAACAAATCAGAAATAAAGGCTCTGGATCGTAGCCGTCGATATGCATCTCCGACGATGGTACACGTGTTGAAATCTAATGTCCTCATCAGCATGTTTCCCACAAAAAAGTGCATGCTTATAGCATTAGTTTGTTGCAGCTAAATTTACATTAGAAATCCTGGATGTTAGAGCCAGGGGTTGAACCAGAAAGAGCTCAGGATGGGAAATTAATTTTTCTTTTTCTTAGAAAAATAGGCAACTGCCCACCCAAAAATCTTTTTTGTCCTTAGAAAAATAAATATTTTAATTATTTTTCCCACTTTCAATGAATACAATTGCTCAGATTTTAAGAAAGAATTTTCTTTTTTATTTCGTACATAAGATTATGCATTTAATAATTCTATTTTTCCTACCCTCAAAAGAGAGACTAATTCCGTCCCTGATTAGAGCTGCATCATATATTAGATTGGATGTCAAAGCTTAAATTAATGGCTAAAAGTCGACAAGAACCAGAGCTTAACATTAATATTAGTTAATAAGCAACAAAAAGGATGCAATTTAAACAAATCAATTTAGCTATAATTCCAAACAATTTCAACAAAATTTTTAGGGAGTTAAGAATATATTTCTAGATTTGATCGGAGATCCTGATGTACTTGCAAATTAAAAAGATAAGTTGAAGTATATTATCTCATTTTCAAATATTTGAATTTGTTGAAACGAAAAATAATAGAATCTACCCACAAATATTGATGAGTTCATCCTAAAACAAAATATACTTTGACTTATTTGAAGTATAAACTTATAGAACAACATAAATTTATAAATAATTATAATAATGATCAACTGCAAGATCAATTTAGAAGCTTTAAACAATGTGAATAGTTTGTTTGAGTTTTTTCTCGGGTTTGAAAACTTAGTAACTAAACATTATTTCCTAGAGATTTTTTATTATTAATATTTATTTTATTAAAGATCTTAAGCAAGAAACGTAGAGTAAATTAAGCTATAATTCTCCAAAGATAATATATAATACTTACGAGAGAGCTTTAGAGTTTGGAAGTAATGCACCTCTACTTTTTTCTAGAGAAAAATATTCTACATCTCATTTAAAGCTTGTTAGAAACACACCAACAATAATATCGTGCACGGTAAAAAAATTGATCCCATGAATAAACCGCGATTCATAAGTATTCTTGAAAAATATAAACTAGATGCAAAAAATAATTACGATAATAAATTGATTCTACATCTGATTTTGCCAAAATTGATTTAGCAAAAGAAAAAACACTAGAATATATAGCAAGAAACTATTCAGCACCAAAACCTAAAACTAAATAGGAGTTTGAGTAGGACTTACTGCATCCCTTTGGAAGTAGCCTGTTTATTTGGGTCTAGGACAGATCAGACAACTTACACTTTTTTACTACCTCTACACCAGATTGTTGCAGTAGTTAGCTTTTAGCATGGTAGTTTTTGTTACAGTACTCATTTTTTTCTTCCACTGTAGTTTTGTTTATAGTACTGACTTTTGTACGTTTGTTTGCAGGAGCTCGAAGCTCTGTAGTTTGCACATGAGCTTTGGAGCTATTTAGAGAGCTTGTAGTTTAGTAGCTTAGTTTGAGTGGGAATTTGTTTGAGAGTTTATTTGAGTTTTAATTTGGGACAGTTGGACCATTGTACAAGAGCTGGTTTTTAGTGCAAATAATGATTTTATTTTTTCTCTATCCACTTTTTTATTGCATTTTATTCTAATTAATTCTTTAATTAATTAAAATAATTTTAATTCATTAATTAATTAACCAATTAATTAAATAAAACATTATTATGTTTTATTAATTAATAAATTAAATAAAAAGATATTTAAATTAATCAATCAATTAATTGATTAACAAATTGAGAAAATTTTTAAAACAATTTAATCTCTCAATTAAATTTATAGAAATTAAATTTTAGATTAATTCTATTATTTTAATTAATAAAAATTATTTTTATTTCTTTTATTCTCAATTTTACTCTCTCAAAAACTTTCCCAAAAATCTCTCCAATAGAATTTTTTTTTTTTTTAATTCGACAGCCATCCGACGTCTCCTCCCCGCAAGGGGAGGTTAAGACGGCACTTGCCGTTGAATCAACCCGCTCGGATTAATAATCAACAGTGCGAGGTCTTCGAATTCGGAATCATCCTGTCAGGATCTAAGATACAACTGCGCAGGGTCTTCAGATTAAAAATTCTACCGCCCTGATCAAAGATCAAGATGCAAGTTCTTCAAATTCAGAATCATCCTGCCAAGATCTAAGATACAACTGTGCGGGGTCTTTAGATTAAAATTTCTACCACCCGGATTAAAAATCACAGCGTGAGGTCTTGAAATCGAAGAATACGGACTTGGGTTGAAGAAGATGAAACTCGTCAGTTGGAAGCACACGAACAAGACCAAAATCAAACGTGAATAGGCAATTGGGTCACGGGATCGTGAGGGAGTGGATCAAAGCATGAACCGAACAATGGGCTAGGGACGATTTCACTCGGGTGTGTGCGAGGCAAGACTCGTGTGTGCAGGTGGAGTTCGGCAAGATCAGACCTGGGGGAGTTCGGTGGGATCAGGCCTAGGATTCGGCGGGATCATGCCTAGGGTTCAGTGGGATTGGGGCTGAGTTTGGCGGGATCGAGCAGGCGAAGTGGGATGTGCGGGCTCAGGAAGTTGCTTGGAAGCAAGAGTGGGCTGCTGTGTTCGGCTCTGCGTGCAACACAGAGAAAATGAGAGGGAGAGAGTAGAGGACTGAGGGAGACGTTCCCGCATGGATCTTGATCGAATCCCCCTCCCCCAACTACTCCTGCGTGTCGTTTTGAGGAAATGGCCAAGCGGTTGCGTGAGTGGGCCGGATTCTTGCATATGACTCTTTCGTTTCACGTTTGGGAGCAATGCCTCTCTCCGCTTTTTTTTTCCTTTTTTTTATTTCAACAATAATAACATAATTGCCTCAAGCATTCAAAGTTGTCAAGCTTTCTAGTGTTGTTGAATGAGGCTATAGAGCATGATACATACAGAATTTTATAATTCTCAAATCCTCACTTCATCTAGTCAGCTATTTTTGTCCGTCTCCACTTGTCAAGTGATCAATTATTGTTAAATTTCTGCATAATTTGCAGTTCGGTAATCCTCTAGCTCCCCAGCAAAAAGAAAAAAAAACCCGAGTCCAGTTGGTTGCAAAACAGTTGAATAAGTCCCACTTTCCACTTCTGGTGGTGAGGGGAGAATGTCTCTTCCAAAAACATTCTCTTCTTGTATATGGACGAGAAACTTTTTAAGAAAGTTGTTTGGCTCTCTTATTGAAGTATTATCACGTATGAGAAGGTTGCTACGTGGTATTACTGAAGTGGTATATTCAGCTTTGGTTGTTCGATTTGTTTCATTGAGTGGGGAAGTTTATCTACCAGAATTTTGATCTTTAGGGTACACTGGCCTGAGGCTAAATTAAAAAATCTCTTGTACGCCATTTCCACAATTGAAGTACACTCCTACAATTGCCTGCCAAACAGGCAGAAGTTTGTCTCCACTTCCACCATGTTTCACTTCAGCCTTCCACTTCCAGGACTTAAATGGAATATTAGATCAATTGTAAATTTGTCATTAAAAGGAACGTCATGTATCTAAAGAAGAAGTGGATTTCCAGTCAAAAGCTGATGATACTGGTCGTCTTTAGAGTAAACTGGTCTAAAGCTAAATTCAAATATCTCTTGCATGCCATTTCCACAATTGAATTAGCTTCCTACAATTGCCCTTCCGAACAGCCAAAAGTATCCCCACTTCCACCACGTTTTACTTCAGTCTTCCACTTCCAGGACTTAGTGGAATATTAGATCAATTGTAAATTTGTCATTAAAAGGAATGGACTCATAACACTAGCCTCATGCATCTAAAGAGGCAGTGGATTTCCGGTCAGATGCTGAGGACCTACTTTTCATAGAATGATGGCAGAAAATGATAATGAGATAGCATTAAGCCTTTTAACAAAATTTAAAATATATAGTTGATAACATAAATATAAGATCAAGTGGGTGTTAGTTAAGAGATTAAAAGAAGCACAATTTAGCAAGCAAGCCGAAGTGATCGAAAGCACACAAATAAGTCGAATTCAATCTATCCACTAATTTTTAAAACTGCAAAAACATCCTATGCACAGGCATGGTAAAAAAATTGTTTTCCAATATTTATCAGAAAATCATCTATATAAGCAATAATTCAACAGTAACAATTCAGAGTCAAATTTTAAAAGATTGAAAAACAAAAGAGATAAATTACCTGAAGTTCTTCAGGGCACCTTGTTGTTGCAGTTGATGGAAGGAAATTCTGCATGGGTTTATCTATTTGCATTTCTGTGGAAACAGTAGGAGGTTTGATCTCAGCTACCTCTGATTCTATTCCAGTAAAGTCCACTGCGATACTGGCCTCAAATTTGGATTGCTCATATACATCAAACGTTGGAAGAGAATCTTGTTGACTGGGAGCAGCAAGTGACTGGGAAGTTACGGCTGCTGTTCCTTCGATGTTCCCTGCAGATACAAAGTGGTAAAAAACATAAATAAGGATCAAGCACAGACAAACAACCTACCAGTAAGAAAACCTAAGGGTGCTTTCAAACACCAATTTAGTGATCTATCTCAGATGCACAAAGAAACTTGCTTTGATTCAAGTAACCATTTAATGCTAGCGCTAAAACTGAAGCAACTCTTGCCAGCATTAAATTTAGATCATATATCCCAACGATATTCAATAAAAAACGAATATAAGTGCTTGATTGCATGCAGTTGTCATAAAGAAGCTTTATGCAAGTGTATTCATGTTTTCGAATGGATGATCTACGCTATGCATTTTGATGTTGCACATGATGACTGCAATAGGAAAAAAAACAAGTACAAAAGTACAAACCTCAAGTACTTGGCCAAATAAATGCTCTAACAACCCATCATAAATAGCATGTGTAAAGTAAGAGACCTATTTAGCATAGCAAGAAAAGAAACTAAAACATACAATTATCAATTGAAAAAGCATCAAAAGTTCCATGAGTTCCCATTCCCTGTCTGGCACGCCGCTTGAACACACCAAAACACAAATTCAGACGGAAAAATAAAATAAAATGAGCAACACATCGAACATAGCTAAGATTTGTCTTGTTGGACAAACCAAAACAAATGCTCAGCCTCTTTGTCAAAAAGGGGAAAAATAGAAATTTTAAAACAACTTAGTGATCTGGATAATTCAACAAGCACAGCATTTAACTAGTCACTTGAATAAATCTTACTGTCAAGGTTGATCCAACAGGGTCCCAAGAAAAGTTGCAAGTTAAATATTGGAAGCATAAATTTGCAAATATAAATTATTAATGGACTAAATTAAAAAAAAAATTGCAATTCAAATTCAAATAATGAGGGCTGTAGTGGTGTCAATTTCGGGTCACGGGTCGAGTTTGGGTCTAACCTGAAACTGACCCGGCACAATTTGGGTCAACCCGAACCCAACCCTTTTTGCAAACGAGTCGGCTTTCTGGACCCGAACCCGACCCGCTTCGGGTCCAGGTCAACCCGACATGACCCGAATGACCCGGTGCCAACAAAAAACTGCTAGTTTTCGGGTCCAAAAATGGGTCAATCTCTGTTTTTCGGGTAAATCTCGGGTTGTCGGGTCAAAAACGGGTCAATTTCGGGTCAATTTCGGGTCAAAAGGTCAACCTGAACCCGACACGATTTTTGAAACGGATTGAATTGTTGAACCCGAACCCGACCCGTTTCGGATTTGTGTTGAGCCTAACCCAAAATTTTCGAGTCAGGTTTGAGTCGGGTTTTCGGGTCGTGTCAAATATTGACACACCTAGAGGGTTGTGGCCAACAAGAAAGGAGAGAGAAATCGAAGTAGAGGGAAAATTTAAAAAAAAAAAAAAAAACTCTCTAAAGTTCTCAAATTTCTACATAGCCAACCATACTTTTTAAAACAAATCAAGTGAATATTCCCTTAATCTAAATCATGGTTTCTAAAAGTTAAGGATGTGTCTTAAAGGATTCATATGATGATTGTTTGACAAGTTTTACATTAGCCATTGACTACCTAATGTAACCCCTCCACTTTTCTCATCTAGAGTTTGGTCATATAAAATGTCAGCTTTTCAATGACAAGGTTAGGAAAGTAGATGTATTAGATCCTACCTATATTAAGAAAGGCATGCAAAATTTAATTCTCTCTCTCTCTCTCCCCTCCCCACCCCCCACCCCACTCCATTTTAATATCATTCAAGAGTCAACCCAAAGCATAGGGCATGAGTTTCTAAAGCAACATTGCTGCCTCCTTCCTCTCTCCTCTCAGGTATATCTCATTGATCCTAGCCTTTTCCCAACTATTTAGGATCATCATTAGCAATCCATTTTTTCATTTGTTCTTATTGAGTTAATGCCTGAGATATTGAACATATTTTTAGCAAATAATTTTGAATAACTTTTATCTATGTAACCTTGGGCCTACCATTTTTCCTTTTTAATCTTCTAACACTAATTATATCAACCCATCTAAGTTCAATTTCAATTATATTAAATCAATAAATGTCACTCCAACCTTTATTCTAATATAGTCATTCCTTAATTTATTCATCTAAATTTTGAGAAACATGCATTTTAACATTCTTATTTTTATCATTCTTAGATACCAATGATTTTTTATAGCCTAACATTCGGATTTATACAAAATTACCAAGCTAATTGTGATGTTATGAAATATAAACATTTGTATCCTCTTATTACACAGAACTCCCGAGGCACTTGTCCATTTGAATTATTCAACCATAATTCATGAAGCTATATCATACTATATATGTGTGTACGTGCGTATTCTTTTATACAATATATCCAAGATACTTAAACCTATCACACATGTCTATCATCTTATCTTAATTAATATTAAACGATTAGCAGTTCATGAGTTGCATGTTATCATTCATCCCAAGTTGACTCAGATGATAGTATATCAAAGGAAGTATCCCTTCAACGTAAAAGCCAAAGTTTCTCTCAGACAGTAAAAGCCTAAGAGGACCGATATGGCTACTTATGGTTCAAAGGTTCAAGGAAATAAACCACTAAAGATGCAACATGTAGGATTGGTTGATTCATATTAAAGTTGGCTCGTAGGCACAGTGCATGGCCGAATGCAGCCGTATAAGTTGAAACATGATTGTATGTCATTTAAAAGGTAGTAGCATAACTAGTTTGATTATTCATGATGAGGTTAGGCTCATCTAAGGAGAATGCACTCTAAAACATATAAGGTAAAGGTTTTATATATATATATATAGGGCATTTGTGTCATAAGCCTTAATCCTCAAAGATTCATCCCTTGCAATGGAAGTTAGCATCCACATGGTAAAAAGTTGATTGTCAAATTCATAGGTTTCCTCAAGTAAAGATCCATGAGTTAGATCAAGCTGGAACACCTATAAAACATGACCTTAAGCATAGGGTAAAGTAGTGCCCACTTTTGTTAGTGTATAACTCACCTATGCAGATGAATTTCAACATTAGAAAGGTTGGGCCCTACTGCTTCGAATATAATGACCTAAACAAATGACAATTATGGGGTTATGACCTAATATAGAGATGTACATGAGTTTTATAGAGTTATGGCACAGCACAACAATGTGGGAATTTGTTAGACCGGTTCACTTGGAACCGGTCCAGAACCAGCCGGCCCAAGGGCCGCTGGTTTATAGGAGGCGGAAGTATTCCGCCTCCTCTGCCTGTTACGCTCAAAAGGAGCGGGCCCCACTAATTGAATGAAGGGGAAATTCAAACGGAGTGGGGAGAAGAGGTTTTGGGAGGGAATTTGTATTAGGAAGGTTTGGGTATTAAAGTGTATGAGGGAATTAGGGATTCTTCATGTTTTGATTGATTGAAATTAGGGTTTCTTGGAGGCTTGGGCTCTAGACCACCATGTCTAGAGATTTGGGAGAGACGATCCTCCTCTCGAATTGAGAATCTCTTGTATCTTGCTATTTTATTTATCATCTAGTGGAATCCAAGTTTCTTCTTGAGTTTTCTCTCAGTTTTCTCGCAATTTCTCGCTGTTTTTTTGTGTTTGGCTGCTGTCCTCTGCTGAAAACAGCAGTTTTTCTTCTCGTTTAACTTCAGATTTGGCTAGGAACTACTTGAAATCAAGTATTTCCTATCAAATTTGTTATCAAAGCTCTTTTTTGGGACCGTTGGGGGTTGATTTCCTGAGATTTCAAGCGGATTTTTTTTTGTTGTTCCGCGAAGAAGATCTTCGTGAATCCTTGAGAAAGAAACGATGGCAGGAAAGAAGGTTCTGAACGTCTTGGAAGGCGAAGTCGGCCAATTGAAAGCCGATTTGGAGGAAAGCATTCTCACTTTGGAAAAATCAAAATCATCCAACAATGGAAGGTTGGAGGGGAAGTTCACCGCAATGGAGGAAATGATGAAGAAATTTGAGATGAAAAACCAATCCGGCGACATCGGAAGTAAGAGAGACCCCGACGGCCATGGCAATGGTGAGGAATCGAACCCCTTGCGGAGGAGGAGAAATCGGAGGTGGAGATCCTAGAAGGAAGAGAAGACATGCCTCCTCTAGAGCTCTGTCGAGGGAAGAAGATGAGTATGGGATATGAACAGAAGGGGGCTGATTTTGGGTGGGAGGAGAGAGCGGATTCTCATCCGCCGAGCATGCTGAATTCGAAAGAAATTCAGCGTCGAGGGGGATTTTGAAGAAGAAGGGAGGAACGTCATCGTCGAGGTGCTGAATTTGAAGGTATTCAGCGTCGAGGTGATGATGTTGAAGGGAGGAGACGGTGAGTATGAAAGAGGGTTCGAGTATATTCGTCGGAGGGCGATTGGGATAATCTGGGGAGCGCCTCTTCTGAGAGGATTGGGAGGCTATGGAGATACCTGGAGATCCCAAGGTAAGGAAAATGAAGATGCCCGTTTTTGAGGGGGAAGACGGCCATGGATGGATATACACTAGGTGGAGCAATATCTTTGCGTCAATAGGGTGACCGGAAGAAGAGAATTGACAGCGGCGGGAAATGTGGCTTGGAGGGAAAGCCTTAGCCTGGTATCAATGATGTTGACAGACGGGAGCCCATCGAGCTGGGCGAGAGTTTAAAGAATGCTTACTAGAGCGTTTTCCGAACCGATAGGGAAGAGACTTCAATGAGCAAATTCTTTGCCTTACCCAGGAAGGCACAATGCAGATTACGGACAGATTTTGAAGTATCTTTGGCTAGTAGGCTGGATCATATCTCGGAGTCAGCCTGGAAGGGAATTTCATGAAGGGGCTGAAACCAGAGATAAGAATAGCAGTCAGAGGTTGGAGCCAAGGAGTCCTCGGCAAGGCCAATGGAGTTGGCCCAGTGGTGGAGAACCAGAAGAAGTCTGAAAGTGGGACTCGGGAAACTTTCAGGGGGGTCGTAACAGACGACGACCACATTCTTACCAGCAAAAAGGGGCAGGCCCCGGGAGCATAAAAGGAAGGCACCCAAGGAGAAGATGGGAGGAGGTAG